CTTTCCTCATTTGTAAACAGAGGATGATTCTACTAGCACTTTACTGTGGCCGGGATTAAGTGAGATAATGAATGTAAAGAGATGGGCATAGCTATCACAGATACTCAGCCGGGGAAGGGACTGTGTTTTACTCACCTGTAAATCCCTGTACCTAGCACAGTGCCTGGAACATAGCAGGCGTCTGGTCATTGTTTCCTGGACTGAACTGACTAGGAGGCCCTCTGACTATTTGGGAGCTGGCGATGTTAGTTGATTCTGAGGTAGCAAATGCTCTTTCTCCCCATCTTTGCCAGGCTTCCTCTACCTCCCATTGAAGGTTTCTGAAGATGACTGTGCATCAGTAATTCAGTCAATGACCATTTCCCCAGCGCTGTCTTTATACAAGGCTCTGTGATGCCTCTTACTTGAAGTAAACAGTAGAGAATCTCTGAGCACATTCTGTTTTCCATACCTGGGTTTATACTGCCCTCTGGTGCATACTTATGGGACAAGCACATTCAATGAGGGCTGCTGCTGGGTGACCTTTCCTCGACATTGAGGAAGAGGCTCCCCTATATAGATTTTCTGCAGTTCTCTTGCGAGACGTAGTGTTTAAGATGCCCTCCCCGCCCAGTTTAGCTTGCAGCTCTTGAGGATTACCTAACTCTGAGACGTTTTACCAAGGTCTCTGACCCCTTGGCCATTAAATAATACCATTCTAGGCTCAAGTTTCTTTCTCCAGCAGGCACTTTTTGTCCTGCCAAGACTCAAGAGGAATGGGATAGAGTTTATTTGAGTTTGTCCTTCTCCCTCCACAGTCTGGTTTCCTCTAATTTCTGGGCTCTTAATTCTTATGGCTGTCCCAGCTGCTCTCAAGGGTCTGGGGTCATGGGAGCCAGGGGAGAACCAGAATCAACCATCCCTATCCAGTGTCCAGTCCTTGCTTCCACCTCTGCCTCACTGTCAATCGTTCCTTCCCAGAGCCAAGCTCCCAGGTATTGAAAACGAAGTGGGGTCCTTCAGGGAGAAGGGGTACAGGGAAAGAGCAGGGGTTAAAGCTCAGCCCACCCTCCTCTGACCTCACCATGAAACCTGCTAGAAGCATTTGTCTTTCATGATTAAGTCAAATAACACAAATTTGCTGATATGCAACTATGTTTCATCCGCAAAACCAGAAATTTTATATAGTTCAGGGAAATACTTCACATGTAAACCCTGTGCATGTTTGTGGTGGCCTGGAGCCCCAGGTTTCCTGAGCTCATTCAGACCCAGGAAAGCCAGGCTTGTGAAACATCAGGATCACAAACAGTAGAGCTGGAAAGAGGGCCCTAAAGCTGGAGAAATGGTTGAGTTGACCTTAAGGACCTGGGACCAACGCCCCTCCCCGCATCAGGCCTCCATGCTCCTGTGCAGGTTCTACAGTAACCTCCAGGCTGGGCTTGGTTTGGGGTGCTTGGCCAGGGGCCAGCAAGGGAACACTGGGGAAGGCCTCCTTCTTGCCCAACTGTGCTTACCCTCCTGGCTATACAGGCTGGATTTTCTGGGACCTTCAGGAACCCCAGCCTTCTGGGCATACCCAGAATCCTCCCCTTGCCTCTGCTGCCGAACTCTGGTTGTGGGGCTGCTTCAGGTGCCAATTGGCACACTTCAGGTGCCAATCCTGGGAATGCACTGGCTGTGTGGTGGGGCCAAGCTGATCAGAGGCAGCTCTGAAGCCCTGAGAACCCCTTAGCTGGCTTCAGTGCCTCACCAAACCTTGGAGACAGCTGCCAGGGCAGGCCTGGTGCAACAGGCATCTAAAACTTGCCCAAGGAGTGGGGGCAATGTGGTGTGGGAGGTTTTAAGCTGCAGAGTAAGGGAAGGCTTATGAGTCACAGTTCACAGGACTCACCAAAGATGAGAAAGTTTCCCTTCTGTGATTCACTCGCCTGCCTTGCAATCACCTGACCAACAGATAGGTCTTGATCTCTTGGAACCTGGTGATTCAGGTTAGAAACCTGGTCTCTTTCGGGTTCTCTTGCAAGCAAGAGAGGGAGGGGCTCAGCTCAGAACATTGTAATCATCCACCCATTCACCCATCCACTCACTCATTTATTCATTCATTAAACAAATGGTTATTGAACATCTATATGTGCCAGGCATTGTGCTAGTTACTTGGCATATAGCAGTGAACGAAACAGACAAAAATCTCTGCCTTCCTGGTAAGGCAGCATCTTGAGTCAAGCCATTAATAACTAACTATGCTGTTCCCCAGCTAACGTTTCTATTAACAGAACTGTTGCCTCTCCTACCATGGGATAAAGAGATAACATGTTTTTAAAACTTCAATAAGGAGAAAAACTCAGGAAATGCATCCATCCCTCTGTATCCCTAGGGGATTGGTTCTAAGACTCCCCTCCCGGCTGGGCACGGTGGCTGACGCCTGTAATCCCAGCACTTTGGGAGGCTGAGGCGGGTGGATCATGAGATCAAGAGATCGAGACCATCCTGGTCAACACGGTGAAACCCCATCTCCACTAAAAGTACAAAAAAAAAAAAAAAAATTAGCTGGGCATGGTGGCACATGCCTGTAATCCCAGCTACTCAGGAGGCTGAGGCAGGAGAATTGCCTGAACCCAGGAAGCAGAGGTTGCGGTGAGCCGAGATCACGCCATTGCACTCCAGCCTGGGTAACAAGAGCGAAACTCCATCTCAAAAAAAGAAAAAAAAAAAAAAAAAAAAGACTCCCCTCCCATACCAAAATCTTGAGCATATCAAGGATGCTCAAGTCCTTTTTACAAAATGGCACAGTATTTGCATATAACCTATGTACATCCTCCTGTACAGAACTTCAAATCATCCCTAGATTATTTATAATACTTAAAACAATGTAAATGCTATGCAAATTGTTGCTAAACTTCGTTGTTTTTATTTGTCTTATTTTAAGTTTATTTTTTTTACTTTTTAAAATTTTATTTTTATTTTTTCTTTTTTATGATTCTGTTCCAATGCATGTAATATTTTAAATTTCTGTATATTTTTGAATATTCCACTCTATAGTTGGTCATATCTGTGTATCCAGAACCCTCAGATACAGAGGGCCAACTTTTTTTGTTGTTGTTTGAGATGGAGTCTGGCTCTCTTGCCCAGGATGAAGTATAGTAGTGTGATCTCGGCTCACTGCAACATCTGCTCCTGGGTTCAAGAGATTCTCCTTCAGAATCCCAAGTAGCTAGGATTACAGATGCCCACCATTATGCCTAGCTTTTTTTTTTTTTTTCTTTTGTATTTTTAGTAGAGACAGGTTTCAACATGATGGTCAGGTTGGTCTTGAATTCCTGACCTCAAGTGATCCACCCACCTTGGCCTCCCAAAGTGCTGGGATTATGGGATTATAGGTGTGAGCCACAGTGCCTAGCCATCAACTGTAATCTTAAATTTTAAAAGGCCAATACAAAATTATATACATATATAAAAGAATTCGAATTATATTAATGTATTTCTGCACAGAAAAAGGACAGAGAGGAAGCAGACCCTAAATATCAGCAGGGGTGTAAATCACTAGGGGTATATGATGTACATGTGAACAAAGAAAGGACAAGGAGGAAATAACCCCTAAATATCAGTAGGGGAGATTGTATTTTGTAGGAGTGCCACAAGCTCCCCTGTCCCCTGGGCTTTTCATACAGTATGACCTTGTTGGAGAGGTGTGGTCATAATTCCCTCTCCGTGCACTTACGGCTATGGAGGCAGTACAACTTCTTCCTGGCCCTCCTGGGGTGCTCATATTGGAAACTCAGACACTGCTGTGAGAAAGCACATGGAAATGCCACACATGGGTGAACCGGCCCTACCCCTGCTGACCTCCCCTGACAACCAGCATCAGTCACCAGGCACAGGAGTGAGGGAGCTCCTCTGTGACCGCTGACTGTGGCCCTGTGAGAGACCCCAAGCATGAGCAGCCGAGCTTAGCCTAGCCAACCACCAGAATCGGAAAATAAAAATGGATGTTGTTGTTTAAAGCAGCAGAATTTGGGGGTGATTTGTTACACAGCAATAGCTAATCAGAAAAAAATATTTAACCTCTATATTGTGGGATCATGGATACTGACAATATTTTTCCACATTTTCCAATATTTCTACAATGACTATTTCTCTTATAATCAGCAACAAAAAAAAGGGAAAACTTGGTCTAAACGCGAACTTAAGGACTTAAACTAGACTTGAAGAGAGGCTTTCTATGCAAGATTTATTAGATAATGGAAAAGACGAGGAAGATAAATTTAAGTCAATATGATGGAAAGAGTGGTGGATTTGGAATGAGGAAACTTGGAAATGACTCTGTTTTCTGGGTGACCTTGAGCAAGCCTTTGCTAAAATTTGGTTTTCTATTTTGAAAAATGCAGCTGGCTGCTGAAGGAAGATAACATCCACCAGGGCGCCTGGCCCAGAAAAGGCGCTCTGTAAGTGGTAGGTGGATCCTGTCTAATCAATGCCAATTATAACCAGGCATCTGCAAGCCTTGTGGAGGGCGCCTCTTTCACTGCCACCAGAGCCTACAGTTCTAATAATGAAAATTGCCTGGAAAAGAACCACAACTCTTAAAAAAAAAAAAAAATCCAAAACCACAAAGTGGCTTTTGCAGCGATTCTTGCAGGTGACTGCTGGAGCCTCTGGCTCCGCACCTCTCGGGAGCCTCCATCCCATACCGATGGCCACAGTGCCCAGGGGGTGGGGGCCGGCCGCTGGGCCGGCAGCCGGGCCAGGCAGGACGCTGCGCACCGCGTGGCTGGGGCCGGTGTCCCGGCAACCCCGGAACGCGCCTCCGCGGGAGGAACAGGAGGCAACGGCGTCCCTCTTGCCCTGAGCTCTCGGTTTCTCGGCCTCGGCGTGCGTTCGGCAGTTAGCCTGCCAATTGGTGCGTTGGTCCCATGCTCCGCGGAAGCCTCTGAGCACAGACCCGAGCCTCCTCTGGGGGAGGGGGTGGGAAGACCCAGAGGTGGAAAAGAAGGAGCACCTCGAGCTGGGGGTGGGGGTGCAGCGAGCCTGGCTCGGGCTGGGGGAGGACTCGCTGGAGCTCAGAGGGCTTGGAAACCAAGCAACGCCCGGGTGGAGGGAGGGAGGCTCCGGTTTAGAGGCCAGTCCTCCCTCCTGACTTTCGATGGCTTGCGGAATTTGTTTTCACTGACACCTTTCTTACAAGAGCCTTTTCTTTGTCTCTGGGTTACTTCTAAAATTTAAAACCAACACGTGCACAGACGAGTCCACCAATGCTTACTGGAAACGGTCCACAGGGCTGCCGTCTCCCCTTCATCTCAAGCGCGACCTGTGGCAGAGAGCTGGAGAAGGCTCCAGAGAAAAGGGACTCTGACATGACCAAGGTGGAGAGGACCTACAGTTGAGTGCTAAGAAACCCAGACCGCTGGGTGTGGAGTTGGTGTTCACATCCAAGTATACTACACCCGGGGTCGGGGGTGGGGGTGGGGCACCATTTGAAGTTTAGAAGGAGGCTAGTTTGGGGGCGTGTGAAAGAGCTGCTTGAATAGTAGCTTATGCCTATACTAACCCAAGATTTGATTAGGCAGAGAGCACCGCCAAAGCGGAGATTCTCATAAGTTACCTCAGGGGATCTCACAACAGTGGAGAAGTACATTACCTGTGAGTAAAGGGAGTCAAATATTTGACCTGCCCAGGGCCTGGGTTAATAAATGGAGAGCTTGGATTTGACGTGAGTCTGCCATACTCCCGAGCCTGTGTCTCTTCATCTTTCTTTTGCTGATATATTAGCAGGTTTGTGTCACTGTTTATTGGATGGGACAGTTCAGATGGGAATTATGAACACTCTAAAAATTAAATAATGGCTGGTAGCTCCATAATTGGTTAAGGCCGAGGAGGGTACTTGGAGGCACGTTTGCCTTTAGAGAACAGTGTCATGGCCCTGAACAGCCACAGTCTCCCAGAAAAGCTCAGAGTGTGTCTGCGCTCAAGTTCTCATTTATCTGTTATGGGTGAGTGGTCTGCGTGCTGCATAAAGGGGTTGTGAAATGTCCAGACTTTGCTAGATCAATTCTTAGCTTTCTCCCTGGTCTTCTGTATTCTGGGTCTATGATCACCTCATTCTCCTTCACAGTGCGGAGAAAGGAGGGAGGTACAACTCATTCCACCCAGCTATTGATATATGCTGGGACCGTAGAGAAGGAGGAGCTGGAGGAGTTAGAACTATTAATTGTCCAAGTGGGTCTGGAACAGCACGGAGAAAAGGATTCTGGGATTCTAAGTTAAGCTCCAGACCTTTCTGCAGTTTCCAGTTTGGTTTGGGGTAAAGGAGGAAGATGCTGTTTTAAGGATGTCCTAGGGATCCATGTTTTTGAGTTAGGGGTACTGGAAGGGTACCAGATCCCAGAGCACATTATTGAAAGACCCATGGTGTCCTTTTCTACTGTGTAGGTGAATCCATTCAGGAGAATATATCTGAGTTTAGAATATCTTTGGAGTCTATGGTTTTCAGGAAGGAAGGGGCTCCACAAACCAGTTGAAGATACCTGCGTGTGTGTGTGTGTGTGAACATTTTTCCACCAGAGAACCAATTGCTTTCATTACTGCTCATGGGGGAGGGGATATAATCCAAAAGTGGGTTAAAAACCACCGTCCTTGATCCGTAGGCCCCTTGTTAAGCAGATAAGTAGGGGTGGGAAATAGTGTTTGGTTAAATGAGTATCCACATTAAACAAACATGGCTTGATGTATTCTTTCTATCCCTACCGGACAGAGCTATTGTGAAAATCAGCTGAGATGACAAGCATATGAAAATGCTTTGGTTATGTAAGGTGTTATTCCTGCCTAAAAAAAACCGGAAATAATTATCCTGAATTCCACAGATGGCACTAAAGAAACAAGACTTTCTTTCAAATTCTCCTTTTTCCCTTGAATTCCTTTCTGGTCACCAGAACCTTCTCTTGGCCTTTAATTACATAGTTTCTTCTTCTTTCATAGTGTTTTAGAAACTTGTTAGAATTTTCTGACTTTTGGCTTACTTGACATTTATTGCATTTGAATAACAATTTTCACGATAAATGGCGATCCTTTCAAGCAGGGTGTGTTTCCTTAGCGTGTTTGTTTCTCCCCACAGCCTTCTGAGCCAGGTGGCGGAGAGGGCAGCCACTGGGAGCTGGATGTGGAGAAGTAATTGACTTGCTTAGAGTAACTGGATGGTACTCTATACTGTGGGAGCATCAGTATTTAAACATTTAAATTTTGTCCCTAACACAAACAAACAAAAAATGTGGGAAAGGGCCCTCTCTGATACTATCCATAGAGCCAACCAGTTCTTGCCTGGGGGAACACTCAAGTCCTATAGTGGCAATATACAATTAAAATGTTTACATGCTGTGAAAGGCAGCCACTGTGAAAACCTATGGGCAAAAATTGCCATAAGTAAATGTTACCATAAATACCTCAGAGCTCACATGCAAGTATCAACATAGAGGACATCTTTGGCCTTGATTTCATTTCTTCTCCACATATGTGAATCCATTCTATATCTCTATACATACATTTCATGCCTTTTTCATAGATACATTTCTAGAAGTAGAACTATTGAGTCAAGTGATATGCACTTCTCATAGGCTTTGGAAGTAACGTATGGCCAAATTGCTCTTCAGGAAGATTCCTATCATTCCCACCAGCAATGATAGGAATGCCATTACTCCAAGCTATGGCAACCCTGAGTGTTTGCAAACTGATAGCAAATAATGGTATCTTATTTTAAATTCAAGTCTTCAGTTATTAGGATGGGGCCAGGTGCAGTGGCTCTCACCTGTAATCCCAGCACTTTATGGGAGGCTGAGGCAGGTGGATCACTTGAGCTCAGGAGTTTGAGACGAGCTTGGGCAACATGGTAAGACCTCATCTCTACAAAAAATAAATAAAAAAAAATTGCTGGGCATGGTGATGCATGCCATGGTCCCAGTTACTTGGGAGGCTGGGGTGGGAGCATCACTTAAGTCCTAGTGGCAGAGGTTGCAGTGAACCAAGATCATGCCACTACACTCCAGCCTGGGTGACAGAGCAAGACCCTGTCTCAAAAAAAAAAAAAAAAACAAAAACCCAAAAAATAACCACCCACTCCTCCAAACCCAATTATTATGGTGGATGAAATTTTCCCCCAAATATATATTGGCTATTTGTATGTGTTATTTTATTTCATCTTATTTTGAGATGGGGTCTCACTCTGTTGCCCAGGCTGGAGTGCAGTGGTACAATCAGGGCTCATTGCAGCCTCTACCTCCCCAGCTCAAGCAATCCTCATCTCAGCCTCCATAGTAGCTGGGACCACAGGTGTGCAACACCATGCCCAGCTAACTTTTTAGTTTCTTTCTAGAGACCAGGTCTCCCTATGTTGCCCAGGCTGGTCTTGAACTCCTAGCCTCAAGCAGTCTACCTGCCTTGGCCTCCCAAAGTACTGGGATTATAGGGATAAGCCACTGTGTCCAGCTTGTTTTAAAAGTAAGTTACCTGATCATGTCTTTTGCCCTTTTTTTTTCTTTTTGGATATTTATTTTCATCTTATAAATGTATAAAAGCTCATAATTTGTCATGGCTACTATTTTTTCTTTCTATCAGGTATGTTACAGATTTTCCCCGTTTATAGTTTGCTATGAAAGTTTTAAGTGTATATTTAAAGAGGCATATTCAAATATATGCCTCTTTTCCTTTATTTTGCCTGTATTTGATATCTTTCATGGCAATAACTTCTTCACTCTAAGATTATATACACGTTCACTTATTTTTTCAGGTACATCTTTAATTTCAATTTTTACATTCAAATCTGTATTTCATCTGGATTATTCCAGTTTGGGATAAAAAAGGTTTAATTTTATTTTTATTCCAAATGGTTAATTAGTTGTTCCAGCAATATTTTTTGAATAACCCATCCTTTCTTCACCAAGATAAAATGCAACTTATTTTCATATAAAATTTTATTCTATTTATGTTTACAATTTTGTCCTATTGATTTGTCTGTTAGGGTTTTTGTCAGTACTGTCTTGATTATTTGAATATTAGACTACATTTTATAAATTATACTCCATAGTTAATGTAACCCTGAACAAGTTATTTGACATTTCTGGAGCTTAATTTCTTTATCTGTAACGTTATCTCTATTTTGTTTATAATTATGGCCTTCTTTTCATTTTTAATAATAATAACATTAGTAGTATTATTTTTGAGACAGAGTCTTACTCTGTTGCCCAGGCTGGAGTGCAGTGTGGCGTGATCTCAGCTCACTGCAGCCTCCACTTCTTGGGATCAAGGGATTCTCCGGTCTCAGCCTCCTGAGTAACTGGGATTACAGGCGTGTGACACCATGCCCTGGCTAATTTTTGTATTTTAGGTAGAGACGGGGTTTCACCATGTTGGCCAGGCTGGTCTTGAACTCCTGACCTCAGGTGATCTGCCAGCCTTGGCCTCCCAAAGTGCTGGGATTACAGGCTGCCCTAATATTATTTATTTGTGATTAAAATCTTTTCTTGAGCCTTGTTTATCTACATTATTTAGCTTTTGTATGAAGCCATAGTTCTGATAATCTTTATTTCATTCATTTCTGTTTTTATTATTTCATTCCTTAAAATTTTGGGGGGATTTAGTATTTTTTTTTTCTTATTTCTTAAATTGAAAGCTTAGTTCATTCATTTTGGATTTTGATTTTGAACACTATAACCCGTCAATTGTTGGATGGACACTTTGCATCTTTGAAGTAGGGACTGCATGTTACCAGGTCTGTGAGCCCAGCAGCCACCATGATGTAGTTGTAATAATTTTTGCTGTATGAGCACTGAAGCATGTAGAATGTGTGTTTGTAGCTTGGAAGAAAACTCCAGAGACAATAGAGAAGCACTCATTTAAGAAATGTGGGGCTGGGTGCAGTGGCTCATGCCTGTAATCCCAGCACATTGGGAGGCCGAGACAGGCGGATCATGAGGTCAGGAGTTCAAGACCAGCCTGGCCAAGAGACCCAGCCTGACCAACATGGTGAAACCCTGTCTCTTCTAAAAATACAAAAATTAGCTGGTTGTGGTGGTGAGTGCCTGTAATCCCTGCTACTCAGGAGGCTGAGGCAGGAGAATTGCTTGAACCTGAGAGGCAGAGGTTGCAGTGAGTCGAGATAGGGCCATTGCACTCCAGCCTGGGCGACAGAGCCAGACTCCCACTCAAAAAAAAAAAAAAAAAATGCTGCATCATTCTTAGTGAATTATTAGGTCAGTATTAGGTGGAAAATGTGGACATCAGTGATTGAATTGAAAGTGATTTAGTAGTCAGACTTCTGAATGTGCATAAAATTTAGGAATGCCTTAGCCAGTCTATTTTGTCTTTATTTTCCTTCTTCACATAGGCATATGAGTGATATGTGGTTAAAATCTATGTCTAAGTAAATCTAAAACAATGCTTCAATAAGCCAGGCGCGGTGGCTCACGCCTATAATCCCAGCACTTTGGGAGGCCAAGACGGGCGGATCACGAGGTCAAGAGATAGAAACCATCCTGGTCAACAAGGTGAAACCCCGTCTCTACTAAAAATACAAAAATTAATTAGCTGGACATGGTGGCACGTGCCTGTAATCCCAGCTACTCAGGAGGCTGAGGCAGGAGAATTGCCTGAACCCAGGGGGCGGAGGTTGCGGTGAGCCGAGATCGTGCCATTGCACTCCAGCTTGGGTAACAAGAGCGAAACTCCGTCTCAAAAAAAAAAAAAAAAAAAGCTTCAATAAGTATAAAATAAAAATTCTAAGTGATAAAAGCATGTGTCATACTTTAATTGGCAGCCTTTGTTCTTTGTGGTGCATAAAATAATAATGCTAGTACCGTTGATGGTGTCTCATATTCAGTGAAATACAGCATATGCATTTAAGGCTCCAGATTTCTAATTACTGCTTTAGTTGACTCCCACAAGTTTTGATATATAGTACTTAATGTTCATTGATCATTAAGCACCTCATGATTTCCATTACAATTTCTTCTTGTATATGAATTATTTAGAAGCATGGTTTGAATTTCCAAGCTTATGGATACTTTTTGGCTGTCTTTTTATTATTGATTTCTAATTTGTACTGCATTGTGGTCAGAGAGTGTGGTCTATGTATTGTTGATACTTCTTTTGTGGCTTGGTATATGGGTGGTTCTTCCTTAGGCTGCTGGGGACCTGTCCCCTCTTCCTCACAGCTTTGCGTCTTTCCTGCCATCTCCCCTGTGCTTGACTCCATCCCAGCTACACTTCAAGCAACCAGTTGGCCCTCACTGTGCTGGGGGCTGCTCTAGGCTCTGGGGCGTATTCCAGAGCAGCACTTCCCACACTTGGCAGGCCCTAACAGTCACCTGAGGTGCTTCTTAAATATCCTGGCTCCCAGACTGTAGGTCTGAATCAGAGCCCTGGAGCCTGCGTGTTGAACAAGTATCCCAAGGGGATTCTCATGACTGGGGACATTCAGGAAGTTCTGTGCAGTTGGGAATCTGGAAGTGGAACAGGATAAAATATAGTGCAGTGATGCAACTAGACCTCAAGAAGGAGATCACTGCCAAACGTGAGCCTAAATGAAGAGCAGGGGTGAGGATGCGGGCGGGGGGGCGCTATTCAAAATGCAGGTTCCCAGACCTCACTTGGAGAGATTCTAATTCAATGGGTCTGAGACAGAATTCAGGAATCTGTATTTTTAACAGGCTTGCCAGGTAATTCTGATGCAGGTAGGCCTTGTGCCACATCCTGAGAAACTCAGAGTGGAAGGATTTTGAAGGGAGGAAGTAACTCAGCTGAACTTTAAGCTTTGTGGAGTCAAAGGCAAAGTCCTCTTAGGGGTGTAAGTTTTGGTGACAGAGAGTGGAAAAGATATTATTCACTTGTGATATGAATTTGAGAGGAAATGAATAAAAAATTGTCTGAGTAGCAGTCCTGCTGATAGATGGTGGGAATTTGCATAGTTTCTACTCTACAGTCCTATCAATGGGCTCTGCATGGGCAGATTCAACCAACTGCCCGTAGTAAATATTCAACAAGGAAACAACAAGGTCAGGTGCAGTGGCTCACACCTGTAGTCCCTGCACTTTGGGAGGCTGAGGCAGGTGGATTGCTTGAGGCCGGGAGTTTGAGACCAGTCTGGCCAAGATGACAAAACCCTGTCTCTACTAAAAATACAAAAATTAGCCAGGCATGGTAGCAGGTGCCTGTAATACCAGCTACTCAGGAGGCTGAGGCATGGGAATCACTTGAACCTGGGGGCGGAGGTTGCAGTGAGCTGAGATGGCACCACTACACTACAGCCTGGGTGACAGAGTGAGACTCCATCTCAAAAAAAAAAAAACAACAATATAACAACAAAAATAATACAAATAAAAATATAACAACTATTTACATAGCATTTGCATTGTGTATTAGGTATTACAAGTAATCTGGAGATGATTTACAGTACAGTATGTACATATGTTATATACAGAAGGATGTGCATATGTTATATTCAAATGCTACACTGTTTCATATAAGGGATTTGAGGATCCTCAGACTTTGGTATTTCAAGGGTCCTGGAACCAATCCCTCTTTGATACCAAAAGATGGTTCTATATGTGTGAAGCATGATACTGTGTAGGTGGAATAGCAGTCAGTCTAAAAATGTACTCAAGAATCAGAGAAGTTTGACTCTTATTTCTTACAATTTTCTCATTACCAGAGGTTACATTGCCATCTATTAAGCTTTGGTGCTCTATGAAATTATGCATAAAGAAATATGCATAATTCTTTCATCTGACTTTTTATTTTTGTGGCTTGATGAGGCACGTAACTATATAAAATGATAAGAGAACAGATTGACTTTTATGAAGTATTAATAGTATAGCAGAGTGAAGATAATGGGTGCTCTTCTCTGTCTGACACTCACTGGTTTTCAGGACTCCCTTACTTGTAACTGTGGGTGGTTGGGGAGTTATAATTCTTTTTCACTTATGCAAGCAAGCATTTATTGAGCACCTGCTTTGTGCCAGGAACTGTTATGGATGCTGCTATCATGAATGAGAAGTGTGAAGGGAAGCCACAAAATTTCTGAGGGTGTTCTTTGAATTGTGATCACCATTATATTCATCAGTCTTTCTATGAACCAATCCTTTTACTGAGATGCATAATATAACAGACAGTGCTATACAACTCACTTCAGATCATGGGTCTTCCACTTAGTTCAGAGTAGGTGAACTATGTGTAGAGGCAAGCAGTCTAGTAGAGGGGTTAGGATCTCAGGCTTTAGTGTCACAAGACCTGGAATCAAATATGGGCCTAGATTTTTTTTTTTTCTGAGTCAAAGTTTCTGGTCACCAAGGCTGAAGTGCAGTGGTACAATCTCAGCTCACTGCAACCTCCGCCTCCTGGGTCCAAGCAGTCCTCCCACCTCCGCTTCCCAAATAGGTAGGATTACAAGAGTGCGCTAGCACTCCCAGCTAGTTTTTGTATTTTTGTAGAGATGGAGTTTCACCATGTTGGCCAGGCTGGTCTCAAACTCCTAACCTCAAGCAATCCATCCACCTCGCCTCCCAAATGCTGAGATTATAGGCATGAGCCACTGTACCCAGCCTAGATGTTTACTTTTTATGTGATCATAGGCAAGTTTCTTAACCTTCCCAGCCTCAATTTTCTCAACCATAAAATGGGGATAATAAGGAATACCTATGCCTGTGGGTTGTTATAGGGATTAAATGGGATAACGTGTTTAAGGTGTTGACATAATCCTCAGTGCACAGTAAATGCTCAATACATGTTACCTGTTTTAAAAATTTATTTATAATGTAGGAAACAAAATAGGGTGGAATGTATTTTCAATAATGTAATTAAATATGATATCTCTGTGTTGCAGGTGCTAGCTGCAGTGATTTTCTGGAATCTAAGGGATGTTTTGCCAACACAATATCCTCTGATGAAAGGGTCAGTTCCTCTTCTTCTGTTGAAACAGGCCCAAGCATCAGTGAGTCCCCAGGCCTCCCCAGAGTGTCTGCTTACCTAGAGTAAGTAAGGGTCTGGTGCAGAGCTGTCACTGTTGGGGGAGATCCTGACAAAGAAGTCAACAGTCTGAGAGGTAGCATGGTATGCTTGGCAAGAGCATGGATTCTGGAGCTAGACTGTGTGGGTTCAAATCCTGGTTCTGCCGCTTAGTATCTGTGTGAATGTGAGCAAATGACTTCACCCCTGGGCTTCAGTGTTCTTGTCTGTAAAATGGTGATGATAGTTTATAGGATTGTTGTGAGGATTAACTTGAGTTAATACCTGGAAAGAGCTCAGAAGACTTCCTGGGACACAGTAAGTTCTGTGTGTTTGCTACTATAAAGTTGAAAAATAAGTGAAACTATGTATTTTTAGGATACATACATACATGGGTGGTAAAACTTAAAGAAAAGCAAAGAAATGATTATCCTAAGAGTCACAATTAGGATAGTGGTTACTGCTCCCAGAAGTGGACACACACAGATGGTTTCTGGGGAGTAGGGAAGGGAAGGACTGGCCACGTTTTGTTTCTTTTGTTTGGGTAGAGAGAGGGGTCTTGCCGTGTCACCCAGGCTGGAGTAGAGTGGTGTTACCTTGGCTCACTTTAACCTCAAACTCCTGGGCTCAATCGATCTTCCCACTTTGGCGTCTCAAAGTGCTGGGATTATAGGTGTGAGTCACTGTGCTAGGCTAACGTTTTGTTTCTTGACCAGGATGTTGGTTTTGTAATTAGTTGTAAAACTGTCTTTGTGTTTTATGTACTTTCTCTGTTTATATTTCTTTTACCATAAAAAGTTTTGAAAATGTTTTTCCAATAATTTGTTTTTCCAATAATAAAATGAAAGTAATTTGCTTATTGTAGAAAATTTAAAAAGATGAAGACTTTTTAAAAATAAAAGTATTAACAATAAAAGTCACATGGCCAGGCATGGTGGCTCACACCTATAATCTCAGCACTTTGGGAGGCTGAGGTGGGAGAATCTCGTCAGACCAGGAAGTCGAGGCCAGCTAGGGCACCACCATGAGACCCCTCTCTACAAAAAAAATACAAAAATTAGCCGGGCATGTGGGTGTGCACCTGTAATCCTAGCTCCTCAGGACGCTGAGGGGGGCAGATCACTTGAGCCCAAGAGTTCCAGGCTGCAGTGAGCTATATGATTGAGCCACTGTACTCCAGCCAGGGTGACAGAGTGAGAACTTGTGTCAAAATAAATAAATAGATAAATCAATAAATAAAAGTCACTAAAATTTTACATCTTAGAGAATATGTGTTAACATTTTTATATTAGCTTTTTCTAATTTTAATTTTTTCTTGCACATAAAAGATATATTTATTTTACAATTAAGATCATATTATACTACTCTTTCATAAAACCTACACTTTAAAAAGATTTATTAAGTGTTTTACTTTTTCAGAGCAGTTCTGGGTTCACAGAAAAATTAAGAGGAAGGTACAAAGTTCCTGTGTACTTCCTGCCCTGACACATGTACAGCCTCCCCAACTATCACATCCCGCACCAGCGTGGGACATTTGTTACCATGGATGAACCTACGTGGATACATCATAATCACCCAAAGTCCCTATTTTACAATAGGGCTCACTCTTGATGTTGCACAGTCTATGGGTTTGGACAAATGTATAAGGGCATGTATCCATCATTATAGTACCTTTTCCATTTTTATTTATTGATTTATTTTTGAGAAAGGCAGTGGAATGATCATGGCTCACCACGGCAGTGGCATAATCATGGCTCACTGCAGCCCTGACCTCCCAGGCTAAAGCAGTTCCCCTGTCTCAACCTCCTGAGTAGGTGGGACCACAGGTGTGTGCGACCATGCTTACCTAATTTTTAATTTTTTTTTTTTTGTAGAAACATGGTCTTACTATGTTACCCAGGCCAGTTTCAAACTCCTGGACTCACGTGATCCACCTACCACAGCCTCCTAAAGCGCTGGGATTACAGGCATGAGCCACTGCTCCCGGCATATTATGGTATCATACAGAGTAGTTTCACTGCCCTAAAAATCCTGTGTGTTCCATCTATTCATCCCTTCCCACCCCTCCCACCCCCTAGCAACCACAGATATTTTTACTGTCTCCGCAGTTTTTTCTTTTCCAGAATGACATATAGTTGGAATCGTATAGTATATACCCTTTCAGATTGGCTTCTCTTGCTTAATAATATGCATTTAAGTTTCCTTGTTGTCGTTTCACCACTTAATAGCTCATTTTTTTCAATGCTGAATAATATTCCATTGTCTGGATGTCCCACAGTTTATTTATTCATTCACCTACTGAAGGACATTTTATAAAGGCAGCTTTTTCACCAAGCAACATGTGGAGAGGATTTTTTCATACCTCTGAGTGTTTTCCAAGAACACGGTTTTCAGTAACTACAGTGCTGGAATGTCTGAATAGACCAAAGTCTAACCAGTGACCTATAGTTCTAAAGATTTGCTCTTGTAAATAGTGGTGTAATAAGTGCCCCTGTACATCAGGCTCTTGCCCATCTCTGGTTATATAATAAAAGTAAATTCCTAGAAGTGGATTTATTCAGTTAAAGTTAAGGGAAGTTGCTCAGGTGATTCTTTGTTTAATAAAATCTGCTGCGAGTGGACTTGCTGCCCTCAGCACTGGACATAGAAGAGGCTGGCATAATTCTTAAACTCTGCCTCTTTAGGTCCTCTAAAACAGAAGTATGTCACTAGCAGCAGCAATGGGTCCATGTATTGGGAGGTAAAGAAAGCCCAGACTGTGAAGTTCATGTCCTGTAGGATGGGGAACTGGGCGATTGCTGCCAGTTCTGCATTCCTAATTCCTACCTCAATAAGTCCCCTTTATCTCTCATGATGCCTGGGTTACAGAGGACCTAACTCAGTTAAAGCATGTGTAGCCAAATCTAAAGCTCCAGTCTAGACATAGCCCAGGCTTCAGATTAATATACTCAACTGCTTTAGCTATCTCCACCTGTTATCACACAGGCCTCTCAAACTCAGCATGCCTTGATTGAACTTCTCATCACCCATCCTCGAAAACCAGATCCTTCTCTGTTCCTTATTTCAGTTGATAATCTCAGTATTCATACAGCCCCAAAGGTACAGATTAATGGATCATACTTGTCTCCTCTCACTCACTCAACCAGTTGGTGATCGAGCCCTGAAATACCATGTAAGTCCATCTCTTCTACTCCTTCTATACTACCTTGGTCCCACTCAAGGGCCTGATCATCTCTTACCTGGACTACTGTAATATCTTCTAGATTAGTTATCTATTGGTGCACAACAAATCATCCTAACTTAGTGACTTAAAACAACAAACATTTATTATCTCACATTTTCTGCAGGTCAGGAATCTGAGTATAAGCTAGATGAGTGCCTCTGGCTCAAAGTCTCTCTCATGAGATTGCAATCAAGATGCTGGCCAGGGCTTTGGGCTCAACTGAAGGCTCAACTTGGGGAGGATACATTTCCAAGCTCACTCACATGGTTGGTGGCAGGATTCACTTCCTCACAGGCTGCTGGGGCTGAGAGCTCAGTTTCCCACTGGCTGTTGCCACAGGCTTCCCTCAGTTCCTTGTCTCTACAGAGGGCATCTCACAACAGCAGCTGTCTCTCCTCACAAGCAAGCAGGAGTGCACATGGGAAAAACCACAGTCTCTCTGCAACCTAACCTCGGAAGTGATATCCATGACATTTGCTGTTTTCTCTTTGTTGAAAGTGAGTTAGTGGGTCTAACCTATACTCAAAGGGAGAAGATGACAGAAGGGAATAAGTGCCAAAAGGTAGGGATCATTGGCGACCGTGTCAGAAGCTGCCCACTACGCTCTCCTAAATGGACTCCCTGACTTAAGTTTTATATTCTCAAAGTCCATTCCTTTGACAGCTTCCAGAGTTTTCTAACCGTATGTGACTGTGCCATGTCCTTGCTTACCATTATTTAATGAAATCCCATGAAAGCTTGATAAAAAAGAGTCCCCCCTCATATGAACTGCAAGTTCTCCAGATCTGTCTCCTTCTCTTCTCCAGTTTTTTCTCCAGCAGTCCTGCCACAAGCACATCAAATTTCTTCATTTTCCTGTTTCTTCCTTCTATGCCTTTGCTCACGTTGCCTCCTTTGCTTGAAGTAGCTCCCTCCAATCCCTTGCTTGTGTTCACATATTGTAGAAGCTGCTCGGCTTCCACTGACTTCCCAGTGGCCTGGCCTCGTCTATGCTATTCTCCTTTTCTGGGGAACTGATTTTCACTCCTTCTTTCCCAATTTGTTTTGTTTTGTGTTTTAGACGGAGTTTTGTTCCTGTTGCCCAGGCTGGAGTGCAGTGGTGTGATCTCGGCTCACTGCAACCTCTGCTTCCTGGGTTCAAGTGATTCTCCTGCCTCAGCCTCCTGAATAGCTGGGATTGCAGGTGCACACCACCATGCTTGGCTAATTTTGTATTTTTAGTAGAGATGGGGTTTCACTATGTTGGCCAGGCCGGTCTCAAACTCCTGACCTCAGATGATCCACCCATCTCGGCCTCCCAAACTGTTGGGATTACAGGCAGGAGCCACCACACCCACTCTTCCCTACCCAGTTTTTAAACATTTTAACATGAGGTCTTGCTATGTTTCCCTGGCTGGTCTCAAACTCCTGCCTACCCATTTTTAATGAGTATTCCAAATAGAAGCTATCATCATCTTACTTGTCTCCACTTCTTACTTGTGATTGATTTAAGGGAGAATGTATGATATAAGCCAAGCCAATGAGTCCTTCCCTGAGATTTTTCACATTGGAGATGGGAATAAAAATTGGTCAGAGGACAATGAGAATTCAAATCTGAGCTACCAGTGGCTTTTTGCTCTTGTCAAGAAGCTCATCTGCAATTGGCGAAAACGAAGCCCAGGTGTCAGGATAAGAAGAGGAGAGTGACAGTTCTGAGATATTGAGCCCCAATTCCAGTTGTCTCTAGCTATACTCTGGTCATGGAAACTAACACAACTCCAAAATTGCTTATATTCTGAATTTGGGGTGGGGGCACTGAGTTATTTGTCCTACCTACACCACAGGATTGTCAGCAGGGAGCAAACAAGACAAGCAATATGAAGTTGCCTTGATACCATTTAAATACCAGTGATACAGTGTTATGAAAGAAGATTCTGTGACTTGATAACAGATCATTATACCTGAACACATTGTCCAAGGCCAGGTATCAGACGCGAAGCCATATAAACTAGAAGTGATTGCATGTTCTGCTGACACCCACCATAGTTTGTTGTGGACCTTTATAAACTGCTAGGAAGTTCAGCACTAAACAAATACTCTATTATTTTAATCATTTCCGTCTGGGTTTGTTTTTGATTATTTCTTCATCTTCTCCATATACTTATTGATTTTTTATTTGCATGTAGTGGTTTTATTGAACATGCTTTTTTTGGTAATAGAGTCATTTAAACATAATTAACATACTATATAACTCACCCATTTAGAGTGTACATACAACTCAATGGTTTTTAGTGTATTCATCTATCACCACAATCGATTTTAGAACATTCTCATCACTGCAAAAAGAAATCCATATCCTTTAGCAATCATCACCCCACACTCCTGTCTTCCTATCCCTCTAGTCTGAGACAACCAAAATCTACTTTTTGTCTCTATAGATCTGCCTATTTCAGACATAGAATATTAATGGAATTATCAATACGTGGTCTTTGGTGTCTGGCCTCTTTCACTTAGTGTAATGCTTTCAAGGTGCATACATGTTGCAACACATATAATTCCTTCTTAAAAATTGCGGTAAAATATATATGGCACAGTATTTGCCATTTTAGCTATTAAAAACATTTTTCTAAAGAGATGGGATCTCACTTTGTAGCCCTGGCTGGAGTGCAGTGGCACAATCACTGCTCACTACAGCCTCCACTTCCTGGGCTCAAGTGATCCTCCCACCTCAGCCTCCCAAGTAGCTAGAACTACAGCCATGCACCACCACACCTAGCTAATTAAATTGTTTTAAATAGAGATGAGGGCTCACTTTTTTGCTCAGGCCACTTCATTCCTTTCTAAGGCTGAATAATATTTCATTGAACATATTATGTACCACATTTTGCTTATTCATTCTTCTCTTGATAGACATTTGGGTTGTTTCCCCTTTTTGCCTATTATAAATAATGCTGCAAAGAACACTCACATGCAAGTGTCTGTTTGAATCTCTGTTTTCTGTTATTTTAGGTATATACCTAGAAAGGGAATTGCCAAGTCTTATGGTAATTCTATATTCAACTTTTTGAGGAACCACCAAATTATTTTTAAACATCCTTTTAAAAAAATTAGTAGAGATGAGATCTCACTGTGTTGCCCAGGCTGGTCTCAAACTCCTGGCCTCAAGCAATCCACCTGCCTCAGGTTCCCAAGGTTTTGGGATTACAGGTGTGAGCCACTGAATACCAATCTTTTGAATAAGTTTCAGTCCCCTCAAATTGTGAGTAAATAAATGATATCAGGGACTTTTATAGAGGAGTAGTCCCAGTTCTCATAAGTGAGGGCAATTCTAGGGTGAACTATGTGAGATCAGGCTCTAACTACCAGTGTAAGCGTGTGGAAGAATCCAGCCCTTCTGCTCTTTTTCCAGCAGCACTGCTGACTTGGATCGGAAATCCTCCTCCTCACATTCTGAGCACTCCTCTGAAACATCATTGCCTGAAGTCCAAAAGCATAAGTATCCTGAGGAATTCAGCCTGCTTAAGTTGCAGACAAGTAAGTCACAGGCCCTCCTCCACAGGCCTCTGTGCCCCAGGTCTTTTCAGAAGTCTGCCATACTGTTGGCCACCATCATTGAAAACCCACAACTGCCAGGCATTTGACATGCTTTATCTCAAAATTCACAATACTTCTGCCAGGAAGCTATTATATGTTTTTCAAAAATGAAATGCCTTTATATAAAACCCATTAAAATACTGTAGCAAGACATTAAAATAATATAGAAATATATAGAGTATAAAAACCCCTTCCCCAATATTCTCCAGCAATATCCCTATTCTGCCCCATAGCTGTGAAGTGTTGATATATATTTTTACAGTATTTTGAAGTGTGTGTATGTATATATATGCATGTGTACACATATAGATATAAAACAAATGGGTTAATATACAAACTGGTATAAATAGATCATGGACCTCTTTCTGCGTCAATACACATAGATCTATGTGGCTAATATAGACATACCCATTTTACAGAGGAGGAAACTGAGGCTTTGAGACATTCAGTCATCCATAAAGCTACATGGCCAGGAAGTACAGCGATGGGATCAGAACACAAACTTGCTTGTCTCAAAGCCTGTGCTCTTCCTGGCTATCCCAGAGCCCACATTTCTCCAGCATCCCTTGAGCTGCTAGGGGATCTTTTATTGTTTAAAGTCACTGTTAGCGATACAGGAAAAGTATCAGATGATGAAACAAAGGCACTGCAAGGCCCAGAAACTAGCCTGAGGTCTCACGGCAGCTTTTCTCATTTGAAATGATCACAGGCACATTTCCCAGCGTCACCGTAGCGCATGTGTGTCCTATTGTTGCAGCCAACACCATGTTTCAGCCACTTGAGGTACCAAGTGGATGGCACTGGCCTAGCCATTTGCTGGTTGATGGCATTCTGTTTTTCCTACACAGTTATCAGAGTGAAGATTGCATCACAGGTGCCTGTAAGACTGTCTCTGAGCTTCCCAATCAACACTTAACTTCCAAACATAAAGTTGGCTTTCGTTTTGAAGGAGAGGGTGAAGAGGGCAAACAAACAAACAAAAGCAAAAAAAGTAGGTAGCTCTCCCACTACTTCCCTTCCTTTTGTGCCTAGTCCCACAGAGTTTCACGCTGTCTCTGATGTAGAACCAAGGGATTATACGCATTAATTAGAGGTTGTATAGCCGGTAGTGCCTGGGGAGTTTTCACAGCTTTTTGTTATCCGGTTGCATTATGAGCCTGGGAGCAGCAATAATTGAAGGCTTTCTGGTGTCTTACAGAAGATGGGCATCGTCCTGAGTGGACATTTTACCCGAGGCTTAGCAGCAACATCCACACCTACCATGTTGGAAAGCAGTGCTTCTTTAATGGAGTCTTCCTCGGCAACAAGAGGTCTCTATCAGAGAGGACGGTGGACAAATGCTTTGGGAGAAAGAAATACGGTGATGTTTCTTTCTGGATCTTGACTGTGCCGTCCCCGAAAAACTCTTGAGTCGTGATTCTATAGGCCCTGCGTTCTGTAGTTGGGGGCAGCCCTGTAGAGTCACCATGTTACCCCAGTGGAGCCAGGAAGATAGAAAAGTGAAGGGGACAGTTGGCAGCCTGCATACTTTGGCAGAGAACTCACAACAGATGCTGATCCACATTTTCTTTTTTCTCTGAATTTCATAAAATGCAAATGTGACATTTAAGTCATCAGATAAGTTCTCTCAGATACTTATTAATAGAAACCTCCATTGAAGTCTGAAGAAAAGAATTTATGTTCCAATTAGATGCTGCCTGGCATACACATTTAAATTGTGCTTTATATTCTCCACAAGGAAAACAACTCATAGACCTCAGCCTAGAGTGCATGTTTTTATTTTATAGCTTATTTAATTAAGGGCTATTGAAATGAATATATATCTACCTGTGTGTCTATATCTCCTTGGTTTGTAGCTTGGTGAATTCTTTGCCCAAACCTACTCATATCATAAAAGATTGATTCAAAGACCCTCAAAAGTTGCTGAGTACTAACAGACCATTTATGACACACTTTTCTATATAAATCCCTGTGTAGGAGGTCACCATTGCTCCAGAATAAATAGGATTGCTGTAGCAGGAATACAAAGAGAAATAAGTAGACTGTTCTCATTTTTGAGTTTTAAAATAGACTTTTAAACTCACAGCAGAGACAAATAGTTTTGAGAATTGAGGCTTTCATTTATTTAGGTAGAAAAATAAGTGGAAAGCCATGGTAGGTGAGCTGGGAGAGTGGTCATTGATATGGGATATGTGAGGAGTCCTGTACCTTGCACTTTTTTTTTTTTTTTAAGGACAGGGTCTTGCTCTGTGGCCCAGGCTGGAGTGCAGTGCCACCATGTTGGCTCACTGGAGCCTGGAATGCCTGTCCCCCAGCCCCAGGTTCAAGTAATCCTCCAACCTCAGCCTCCAAATAGCTGGGACTACAGGCATGTGCCACCATGCCAGGCTGATTTTTCTGTTTTTAGTAGAGACAGGGTTTCTCCATATTGCCCAGGCTGGTCTCAAACCCCTGGGCTCAAGTAATCAGCCGGCCTTCGCCTCCCAAAGTGCTGGTATTACAGGTGTGAGTCACTGCAGCTGGCCCACCTTGCACTCTTGAGCTGCAGGTACCTATCAAGGGTAAATGGGATTATCACAATGATCCAAATCCTAATTCCCATTTGTCACTGCCCTTCTGGCTCAAAAGTAAACCACTTTATTCTGAATCTTATGTTTATAATTCTTCCCTCTCCTTTCCTTTCCCTTCCCCCTCCCTCCTTCCCTTCTCTTCTCCATCCTTCCTTCCTTCCTTCCTTTTTCCTTTCCTCCTTTCCTCTCTACATCCCTTATTCCTTTAGAGTTTTATAAATACTGAGTAAATGCAATGATATATTTATAAAAAAATGTATTGACTATATGGAACGAAATATCACAAATACTTGTGTTCTTTTACTCCACTTAAGAAATAAAATATTATCTTTATATTTAAAGCCTCCAGTATGCTCTTCCCTGAATATTCCAACTCCACTGGTAAACCCCAACTCCAGTGGTAACCCATATTTCACATTTTTTAAAAAAGAAAAACTTAGGTAAATTTTCAAACAATAGCATAATGAAACCAGATGTACTCATCCACTTAGCTTCAATAATAATCAACACCTGGCTAACTTGTTTCATCATTACCCCTCCCCCCCGGGGGTCATTTTAAAGCAAATTCCAGACATCATATTATTTCATCTCTAAATATATCATATGTACCTCTGATAGATAAGGATTATTTTATTAACAATACCACAATTCCATAATATCATATTTTTAAAAATTAACAGTAATTGCTTAATATTTTCAGTGTCCAAAAATCCCACTGTCTCATAAATGCTGTAATTTAAAAATATTTCGTTTGTTTGGATCAGGATCCAAGTAAGGCCCATAGACTGAAACTGGTTGGTGTGTCTCTTAAGTTTCAATATACAGGTCCTCCTTCCTTTTTTCTTGCAATTTGTTTAGTGAAGAAACTAGGCCATGATCAGGACTTTGCTGATTACATCCCTTGGTGCCATTTAACAGGTTTCTCTTTCCTGTGTACTTCCTGTGAAATGGTAGTTGGATGTACAGGTTTGATTCGTTTTAGTGGGATTACGTCTTAAGTGATACACAGTGACTTCTTTAAACATCAAACACAATGGTCTTTTTGTATTTCTTCTCTTCCTTGATCTCACTGTAGCACTCGATACTGTCAAGATTGACACTGGAGAATCGCTTGAACCCGGGAGGGTTCCTTCTTCCTTTGTGAAATTCTCTTCCCACTAGTTATTTCATTCTTTTGTTTGTTTTTGAGACAGAGTCTCACTCTGTCACCCAGGCTGGAGTGCAGTAATGTGACCTTGGCTCACTGTAACCTCTGCCCCTTGGGTTCAATTCTCATGTCTCAGCCTCCTGAGTAGCTGGGATTACAGGCATGTGTCACCATGCCTGGCTAATTTTTGTATCCCTGTAGAGACGGGGTTTCACCATGTTGGCCAGGCTGGTCTCAAACTCCTAACCTCACCTGATCCACCTGCCTCAGCTTCCCAAAGTGCTGGAATTACAGGCATGAGCCACCACACCTGGCTCCAACTCATTATTTCTTGGATGAGATGAAGAGGTAGGCTCAGGGATTGCCAACCAACTGCCATTTTAAACTGGAATGCAACACATTATTATAGAAAAAAATCAATCAGAATATCTGTAAATAATGGTTGACGTTATCCATCAGCCTTAACCAGGGTATTGGCCGTCAAAGCCTAGTTGTTGCCACAGAACAAAACGCCATCTGATTGTATGTGGTAGTGAAATAGGTCTGAAAATGTAATTTGTTTTCTTTTTTTTTGAGATGGAGTCTCACTCTGTCACCCAGGCTGGAGTGCAGTAGTGTGATCTTGGCTCACTGCAACCCCCGCCTCCCGGGTTCAAGTGATTCTCCTGCCTCAGCCTCCTGAGTAGCTGGGATTGCAGGCCCACACCATCACACCCAGCTAATTTTTGTATCTTTAGTAGAGACAGGGTTTCACCACGTTGGTCAGGCAGGTCTCGAACTCCTGACCTTGTGATCCAGCTGCCTCAGTCTCCCAAAGTGCTGGGATTACAGGAGTGAACCACCATGCCCAGTCCTGAAAATATAATTTTCTGTTGTGTAGCTCTTCCTATAGTATAGCAATATTGTATTAGAATAGGATAGATTCTGCCACAGTAACAATCCCTGAAACCTCAGCAGCTTAAGCACTAAAGTTTGTTCCTTTCTCTTGTAAAGTCCCCTGTGGATCCAGCAGCTCTCCAGGGCAGCTCCTTTCCAAGGATCCTGTCTGCTTGTATCTGTGTTTTTCCATCTCAACCTGTGGCTTCTAAGATTGCCACAGAAGGGAAAAGAGAAAATGCTGGAAGTTTTTTCACATCAGCTCCTTAAATGTTTCTTTTTACAAGTGGCACATATTATCTCTGCTCACAATCTACCAGTCAGAACACGGCTCTACCTAAGTGCTCTGGGGCACTGAAATGTGGGGCAGAGTAAGTTATTTGGTAGACAGTCACTCCTTCGTGTGGTTATTTGTCTCTTAATGTATGTGTCCCATTTTCTACTTCCTGGTTGTAAAGACATTCAGGATGTAAAGAAATTGGATGGTCTGTCTAAAAACAAACAAGCATTAGAACTGATCATCAGTGTTATGAGTCTATCAGCTATTGACACATAGTGGCCAGCACTTTGGGCTGATACCTGTTTTGGTGAAATATCTAGAAATTATACCAAGGCCCCATATTGTACCTAATAGCTTAAACAACACATTATCTCAGAAGTGTTGTTTGGGAGATTTTCCCCCTAAAAGTAATACCTTATACTGACACCACACAATTGGCTCTTTTTCTTTCTAATGACATTATCTGGTGATACCTTTTACCACAGTAGGGTTTTTAAAAAAAATTTTGTTGTTGTTATTTCGAGATGGAGTTTCACTCTTGTTGCCTAGGCTGGAGTACATGGTGCTATCTTGGTTCACTGCAACCTCTGCCTCCCAGGTTCAAGCGATTCTCCTGCCTCGGCCTCCTGACTAGCTGGGATTATAGGCGTGTGCCAACATGCCCAGTTAATTTTGTATTTTTAGTGGAGACAGTGTTTCACCATGTTGGTCAGGCTGGTCTTGAACTCCTGACATCAGGTGATTCACCTGCCTCAGCCTCCCTCCCAGAGTGCTGGGATTACAAGCGTGAGCCACCAGCCACCATAGTCTATTTCTAAGTGTTATCCTTAGACCGCCTATATCATAATCAATTGGAGTGTGTATAAAAAATGGTGGTTCTGGGATTTTTTGTGTTGAAGCCTGCATTTTAAGCAAGTTTCCTAGGTGATTTTCAGGCATGCTAAAATGTTGGAACACTGTTCTAGAGTATGTGGCATTTACTGCCTTTTAGTGTTATCTTCTTCTTTACATATCTTGTTTCCTCATCTAGATAAGATTCCTGGAGAGAAGTTTATACCTTAGCTATATAGCAATTATATCTTCTGGATTAAAAAATAATTGGGATGAGGGGTATTACTTCAGTTCTGAATTCAAATAATAATAATTGCTACTATTTCTTGAGTGTTGGTATATGCTTGTATTATTCTTACTTAGTATTCATGATAACTCTGCAAAGTAGCCATTTGAAATAAACAGTTTATAAGCGAGGTTACTAAGGCTTAGGAAGGTTAAGTAAATAGCTCTAGGGCACAGAACTAGAAACTGCAGGAGTGAGTATGTATTCAGGTGTGACTGACTCCAAAGTCCAAACCCTTCCCACTACATCTTGCTATCACTTCACTCTTACTTGTCGGTATCCTGGTTTGAGATTCAAAAGGTTTTGGATTTGCTGTATATTTAATTTAATTTAATTTATTTAATTAATTTTTGTTTATACAGAGTCTCATTCTGTTTCCCAGGCTGGAGTGCAGTAACATGATCCTGGCTCACTGCAACCTCTGCCTCCTGGGTTTAAGCGATTCTCCTTGCCTCAACTTTCCAAGTAACTGGGATTACAAGCATGTACCACCACACCCAGCTAATTTTTGTATTTTTAGTAGAGGTGGGGTTTCACTATGTTGGCCAGGCTAGTCTAGAGCTCCTGGCCTCAAGGGGATTCCCTGTATATTTTAAACCTCCACTCTCTCTGCTTTGAATCCTCAGCATCTCATACCCAGCAGGAACTCAAAGCAAGGGTGTAGTTGATGTTATTTCACTACACAGAAGAGCTAATCAAAAGTGTAACACAGTCAGTTATTGAAAAGGTTTTTTGAAAGGGAAAGACAAAAACATTAAATCCTCCGGTGACTCAGGAACTCCTACCTGTCATGCTGATGGCTTTTCTGAGTTAGCTAGAAGAATCTGGGTGTGTGGCAAAGATGGAAGTCATGTTTCCAGCCATGTGTCTCTGCTTCTGAGCCCAAGACTGGTGAGCCTTGTAGTCCAGCCTTGTTCTCTTAGGAGATGCATCTGGTGTCAAGTGTGTGGGTTGATTTATTTAATTTTAAGTTTTTTAAATAGGCCATTTTAAGGACTTTGGGTGTGTGGGTTTAAATGATCACCCTACACTAGGCTGACGCCTTCCACTCCCGTGATTAGTTTTCTTGCTCCTGGGGGTTTAGCAGGGGCTGAGCTGGGTGTCAGAGCCTCTGCTGAGTAATCTTGCTCTTCTCAGGAAGCCATCTCCCACTCTTGCATGGCCCCAGACCTCAGGCAGAAGGAAGAGCAAGACACCCTCAGTTGGTTTCCTTCAGGGACCCAGTCAGAGAGGCAGAACCCCAGGGACATTTGTTTCTTGGGCTTCCTAAGACTCGGGGATTCAAAGTGCACTAATGCTCAGGAATGAAGAGATTTTTAGGTCAGAGATTTTTGGATCATTGCAAAGAGACCACTGATTCACCTTGTATTTTAAACCAAACACTCCATCTGAATCTAACAATTCTTTTCCAGGACGAGGTAGTCATAACAACACGTTTTGGAAAACGTCCCAAACATAAGCTCATATGTTTATCTTCATCTCCTTAAGGCAAGATACTCACAAACAGAACGTTGAGAAACTTCTTTGTAATTTATAACAAAATACTAAAATATCCTATTTCTGTTGTCATGCCAATACTTACAGCAAGTCTGTGGATCATCTTCAGCCCTTACATGATCTTGTTTTCAAAACTTCTATGCAGATATTGATCCCAGGAATGGAATCCCAAAGCTAACTCCAGGGGATAATCCATATATGTACCCAGAACAGAGTAAAGGCTTTCACAAGGCGGGGTCAACACTCTCACCAGTGAACTTTTCAATGTAAGTGTATGCTAAATAATACTAGCATTATTTAGTTAACATTAAAGGGATTGGGTCTCTTCACTACACATAAATTATATTTTAAAAGGGATAGATGTCAATAAGACATGATTGGATGAAAATTCCTTGAAAAGCTCATCTTTAGTATTCAATTAGTGTCTGCACATATGCATGTGTATAATTAAAATTACACAGAGGAGTTGGACTACAAAAAAGTCGTTGTTAATTTTGTTCTTATCTCTATTGCCACACATTTGAAAACTTCTAAATTTTCATACTGAATCAGATCATTGGCTATAGTGACTACTATGTGGGTGGATTTAAACTTGGAAGTAAACTTAGACCAAAGTGATGGAGAAAAATGGGAGGATCATTAAATTAAAAAAAAAAAGGAGTTGGTGTATTACATTAAAAATATCATTTAAAAAAATCAACCATGTAGGATATAATGATGTTGACTAAAAATGACCAAAACTAAAATCTGTGGGCCGGGAGCTGTAGCTTACCCCTATAACTCCAGCACTTTGGGAGGCCAAGGTGGACGGATCACCTGAGGTCAGGAGTTTGAGACCAGCCTGGCCAACATGGTAAAATCCCTGTCTCTACGAAAAATGCAAAAATTAGCTGGGCATGGTGGCAGATGCCTGTAATCCCAGCTACTCAGGAGGCTGAGGCAGGAGAATCACTTGAACCTGGAAGAGGGAAATAGCAATAAGCCGAGATTGCACCGCTGCACTCACTCTAGCCTGGGCAACAGAGTAAGTGAGACTCCATCTCAAAACAAATGTAATAAAATAAAATAAAATCTGTGGGCCGGGCATGGTGGCTCATGCCTGTAATCCTGGCACTTTGGGAGGCTGAGACTAGAGGATGGCTTGAGCCCAGGCATTCCAGACCTACCTGGGCAACATGGCAAAACCACTTCTCTACAAAAATACAAAAAATTAGCTGGGCATCGTGGTGCGCGCCTACAATCCCAGCTACTTGGGAGGCTGATCCTCTGTCGGAGGATCACCTGAGCTGGGAAGGTTAAGGGTGCAGTGAGCTGAGATTGTGCCACTGCACTCCAGCCTTGCGGACAGAGTGAGACCCTGTGTCAAAAAATAAATGAAATAAAATTTGTGGTCATTACAGTTTTGAGGTTCATACTTGAAAATTAAAATTGGAAAACAGGACATTCTATTGAATACAATGATGTATTGATCTTGTTGTTGTAGATAACATACCGGTTTTATGATTGCCTTTGCTGGTTTTTCAGAGTGCCTTATGAGAAGAAATTTGATACATTTATTCCACTTGAGCCTCTTCCACAAATTCCCAAGTGAGTTCTCTTACCATGTTTTGTGTTATCCCATCTTTACACAATATCGATTATTTTATTTTTTTCCTCCTGTGGAGGGACAAGTAGATAACCAGCACACAGGGCCCTTTTGAATCCCAGCAAGAGGGCAGGGCAGTTTGTAAGGAGGGTGTTTGGATAGACACTCTGTAGAGTCTGGCAATTGGGATGGTCACATAGTCAACAGATGTAACTACCAGAGGCCACATGTTGTGCTAGCTGTGCACTATAGGAGAGTTCACATGGAACAAAAAGGCAGGGTTCCTGATTTCTAGAACACGAGTTTGTTGGGAAAGAAAGACATATACTTAAATGATTGCAACTGGGGAGAATGGTTAGTTTCAAGAGGCAGAAAGAAAGCCAACAGAGCACTTCTGGGTTTGAGGGAAGTATCACTCCTCTAATTCCACACTTTGGCTTCACTCCATTCTGAACCTCACTTATTTACCTAAGTAGGTTTCTAACCTATAAAGAGGTATTTTCTTTTCTTTCTTTCTTTCTTTTTTTCTTTCTAATACAAAACAGTCTCATATGAGTGGGCATGTGTCCCAGGGTCTGACCAACTCTGGAGCTCGGTGGGAATAAAGGCCTTTTATTCCAAACTTGAGATGTCTTAATGTCTTTATTATGTTGCATTGTTACTCATGGTACACGATTAGGGCTTCTCATTTCTATACTTTACATTTTTAATAAACACTATGCTAGAATATTCCAAATAATAGCAATTGCCTAAATTTAATCACCCTACCCAACTATTTTAGCTTTTGTACATTACCTTTCATATGCAAATATGTTTTTACATGTATAAATACTAGAATGCCAATTAGTCTGGTTTTCCTAAAAAGAAAGGTTAAGTTTATTTTGTTTGTTTGTTCGCATGTTTTTTAAAGAAGTTCAAAACTGGCTGGATGCAGTGGCTCACACCTGTAATCCCAGCACTTTGGGAGGCCAAGGCAGGGTACTGCTTAAAGCCAAGAGATGGAGACCAGCATGAGCAACATAGTGAGACCCTATCTCTACAATTTTTTTTTTAATTAGCCAGGTATAGTGGCATGCAACTGTAGTCTTAGGTACTTGGGAGGCTGAGGCAGGAGGATTTCTGGAGTCTAGGATTTTGAGGCTACAGTGAGCTATGATTGTGCTATGTACTCTAGCCTAGGTGACAGAGCAAAATCCTCTCTCAAATTAAAAAAAAAAAAAAGGGAGAGAGAGAAGTAGCTCAGTATATTCTTCTGTGCCATGGTCAACAAGAGAATTGGGAGAGTTGGACCTTTTCCTCAGGGACAGTCCCCCTGATGAAAAAGTCTGCTAACCAGTTAGTCATGGCAGAAGTGACAAAGGCTTCTGTTGCTGGATTTAGCATTTATTGTTTCCTAGATTCTCTATTTTCTTCTGCAGTGTCTAATTTGCTGTTAGTCCCATCTAGTGATTATGTATTTTGATCTTTAGAAATTCTATTTGATTATTTTTTATTTTTTGTTATTATTTTCTGTTTCTATTTGATTCTTTTTTTACATCTGTTGTTTCTTTCCTATGTTCGTGTCTTCCTTAAATACTTGGACATAGTTATAATAGCTGTTTAAAGATTTTTGTTTGCTAATTCTATTATTTGTGTCATTTCTGGGTGTGTGTCTACTGACTGATTTTTCTCCTAATTATGGGTCATTTTCTGCTTCCTGATATGTGTAGTAATTTTTATTTGGATACTGGACATTATACTTTTATATTGTTGAGTATTTGGATTTTGTTGTCTTCTTTTAAAGAGTGCTGGGCTTTGCTCTAGCAGGCAGTTAAGTCACTTGCAGTTTGGTTTGAGTCTTTCAAGGCTTGTTTTCAAGCTTTGTTAGGGCTGTCTAATGTAGTCTTTAGGGATAGTTTAACCTCATTACTAAGTAAGATGTTGCCCTTTTAGAGTCTCTACTGAATGCCTTGAGTGATCAATAAGGAGTCTTTACTTCAGTTGGTAGGAACTAAAATGATTTTTAGCCTTTGCGAGCCCTTTGTGAGTCCATTCAGTTCAGTCACTCTATTGTCTGATCTTGTAGAGTTCTACCCTAAACATGTGTCATCTTAATATTAGGCAAAGACTCAAAGGAAATGCTGTGTAAGTTTCTTAATTTTATTTTTCTGTATAGCTCCTTCTTCTCCAGAACTCTGCCCTGCAGCTTCCAGCCTTCCAAGACTCTTTGAAGTCAGATCTTCGGCCCCTCAAACTCAGAGAGGATGCCATACTCTGTGTGGGGTTGCTCATTCTATGCTGTGGTCTTGAATGTGCCTCCAGACAAAAGCTGGGTGATTATAGAACTCTCCTTTTCTTTTTGTTTTCCTTTTCTTTAGGATCACGATTCTGTGCTGCCTGTTGTCTCATTCTGAAAACTGTTGTTTCATACATTTTGTCCAGTTTTCTACTGGTTTAAGTCAGGAGAGTAAATCTGATCCCTGCTACTTCATTATGGCTGGAATTATTATCTAAGAATAAAAATATTATTTATCATCTATGAATAAAAATTGTAGGTTTTTCCCCAAGTCACTTGATGAATCAGTTTCGTACTAGTCCATGACTGTCATCAAAGTTATTCACATCTTTAAATTTAAAATGTTAAATCTGCAAATGCAACAATCCACCTTCAAAATAACAACAAAACCTGATAACCAGAACCAGATAAAGTTGCCAAGTCTTTTCTGATTAGTTAGTGACAGAGAGAGCCAGAATTAGAATAAAAATTAGGGAGGTAAGACTACTTATTGAAAAGGTCCCTATAATGTGCAATATGTTTACAGGGATTATTGATTCAACTTAGCAGATATCCTTTGAGTACCATTTATGTGCTTAATCTACAGGAGAAATGGGAAGGTGGTGAAGTAATGGAGGCAGGAATCGCAAAGGTGAATAAGATATAACACTTGTTTTAAGGCTCATTGTCTATTAGGGGCAGAGACTAGTAGATGAGCATTCATAAAACAACGGAAAGCAAATGTGGTACACTGTGTACACAGAGGGAGAACATGTGGGGAAGTTGGGAACGTGTTGTAGAGGAGGTGGTATTTAATCTGGGTCCTCGATGAGGCATTATAGGTAATGTATCTTCCTTCCAAGGACAAATGCGTCTGTATTAGGTCACTTAATATGTATTTTTACATTTCCACCTGTACCGAAAATAAAGTGTATTCTATTTAATCAGGATGGAAAGTTAGATACATACCCAGAAGATTGACTTTATTGGTTATGTTGTTTAGCCCCTATATTTCCTAATTTTTGTTCACTTGGCCTAGTTTTGATTGAGAGTTAGTGTGAGAGTTAGTTGTCTGAATATTAGTGTTTCGATATTTTTGTTGTTCATTGTGTCTTTTAGCTTTATAAAAGTGTCTTTATGGCTGTAATCCCAGCACTTTGGGAGGCTGAGGTGCGGGGATCACCTGAGGTTGGGAGTTTGAGACCAGCCTGACCAACATGGAGAAAGCCTGTCTCTACTAAAAATTCAAAATTAGCCAGGCATGGTGGCAGATGCCTGTAATTCCAGCTACTTGGAAGGCTGAGGCAAGGGAATCACTTGAACCTGACAGCTGGAGGTTGTGGTGAGCCGAGACTGCACCATTGCACTCCCACCTGGGCAACAAGAGTGAAACTCCATCTCAAGAAAAAAAAAAGTATCTTTATTTTTCTCATTTAATACTTTTTGTACTAAAGTATACCTAGCCAGTTATTAAGATTCTAATTCTTACTTTATTTTGTTTGCATCTGACTAATACACTTTTGCCCATTCTTTTGCTTTTGAAGCACTTTGCTTTTAGGATAGATTTGGATTTTTCTCTGTGAGCTAGCTTGAAAATATTTTCTTTAATTCAGGTGAATTCGGCCACTTGGATTTATTGATTTGACTGCTATATTTTATTTCAGTTCTGTTATATTACTTGTTACATTTATTATGTGTACTGTGTTATATTTACTGTGAATCTTTCAGTGTTTTCTTTGATTGCTTTAACAAAGGTTGACAATTTCTTTCCTCTGATATTTAGAAATGCTTATGTTTTTGTTCTACAACAAAAGATATTATGCTAATATCTTTATGCATTGCTCTTAGTCCTGCTTTTCTTATTTGGGCTTCTACTATCTGGCTTGTCAGCTTTAGGTGATAACCTTGACTTCCACCAATTACCTATGTGGTCACTCTCCTCTTCATTCTTGCAGGGACTTCCCTACCCCCAGCAGTTATATCAGGACATTTTGCCAATTATGGTTTATTTCTCCTCAAAAGTGCAAGAATTCTAGCTTCCAAAAGATGAAAACATTCTGCATTTCCCTGCTCCAACTCATCCCAGAGTCACACTCCCTACTACCTCTTGTAACACATACAGCCTAGAAATGCCCTTTTAAGTCTCATTGGCTCTGGGAAGACTCTGGGTATCTGCATTAGCCAAGGTCCCAGCAGGAAACAGAAAGCACACTCAGCTGGGATTCTGAAGACAGCTTAAGGAGAGGGACTATTTATGGGTGTGTGGGCAGGGTTGGGGGAACCCACATGGGAGGATGAAGCACCCAGAGGCTCATGACAGTGGGAAGCGTTACTACTCCTGGGTCTGAGCAGCAACAAGAGAGATCATGGTTTGCAGAGCAGTAAGCGCTAAAGCCCTGGGAGAAGGGCTGCCAACTGGAGCTGTGGCACTGCCAGAACAGGGGGTACCTGGGGAGATAGGACATCACGGGAGGAGCTAGGTAAGAAATGCCCTAATCTCTTCCCACCTTTCGATCTCCTGTTGGTGCCATTGGCCAAGCCCAGCTCAAAGGTGGAAGCACAGGTGAGGCACAGTGGCTCATGCCCGTAATTCCAGCAGTTTGGAGGCTGTGGTGGGAGGATCACCTGAGGTCAAGAGTTCAAGACCAGCCTGATCAACATGGTAAAGCCCCATCTCTACCAAAATAGAAAAATTAGCTGAGTGTGGTGGCATGCGCCTGTAGTTCCAGCTACTTGGGAGGCTGAGGCAGGAGAATCACTTGAACCCAGGAGGTGGAGGTTGCAGTGAGGTGAGATTGCACTCCAGCCTGGGCAACAGAGCGAGACTTCGTCTCATAAAACAAAACAAAAAAAATCTGGGCCAGGTGAGGTGCCTTGCACCTGTAGTCCCAGCACTTTGGGAGGCCAAAGCAGGTGGATCACCTGAGGTCAGAAGTTTGAGACTAGCATGACCAACAAGGTAAAATCCTGTCTCTATTAAAAACACAAAAATTAGCCAGGTGTGGTGGCAAGCACCTGTAGTTTCAGCTACTTGGGAGGTTGAGGCAGGATAATTGCTTTGACCCAAGAGGCAGAGGTTGCAGTGAGCCGAGATCACACCATTGCATTTCAGCCTGGGCTACGGAGCGAGACTCTGCCTAAAAAAAAAAAAAAAAGTGGAAGCACAGAGGAGTCCAGGTGATACTAGCTGCAAGGTCAGCCTCTTGGCATAGAAGGGCTGAACAAGAGCTGGGTTTGAGGCAGGGGCAAATGGTGAACAACTAACGTATTTTATTTTGAAGCTGGTCTAAATTGGAGGTCTATTTACTTTTGGAGCATATAGTGCCTTATCTGCTGTTGGTGTTTGTAAATTTTGCATCAAACTGCAACTCAGGGTGTTGTCTTCTTCCCACAGCTTGCCTTTCTGGGTGAAGGAGAAGGCCAACAGTTTGAAGAATGAGATACAAGAGGTTGAGGAGCTTGACAACTGGCGGCCAGCAGTGCCCTTAATGCACAATCTACTCTTTTCTGGTGGGTTAAAGAACCATCAAAGAATAGTGTAAAAACTGGAGGAGTTGGTCGGGCACAGTGGCTCACACCTGTAATCCCAGCACTTTGGGAGGCCGAGGTGGGTGGATCATGCGGTCAGGAGTTCAAGACCAGCCTGACCAACATGATGAAACCCTACCTCTACTAAAAATATAAAAATCAGCCAGATGTGCTGGGCACCTGTAATCCCAGCTACTCAGGAGGCTGAGGCAGGAGAATCACTTGAACCTAGGAGGCAGAGGTTGCAGTGAGCCTAGATTGCCCTACTGCACTCCAGCCTGGGTGACAGAGTGAGACTCCGTCTCAACAAAACAAAAAACAAAAAACTGGAGGAGTCCAGAATAACAGGCTCTTGAGAGGCTTCATAAAGGAGGGCAGGCAAAGTATCTCCTGGAGTGGATGTGTGTTCTGTCCTGAGGTGGTCTCATGGGCAGTTTTCATAGCCAAGCATTGAGTGTCAAGTGTGGTGGTTAAGAATTGTTGGTTTTGTAATGGAAGGAAACATTTAACTCCATGCCTCTATCCACAGGTGCTTTGGACTTTCCAGGACAATCCTGAGCATAAACAGGCCCACAAAACATGTGCTGACTGCACTCTGGCGAGTCTTTTCCAGTTGATGGTTTTTGTCATGTGACTGTTCTAAATCCAGTGTTTGACTCTAATGGGAAAGTGTTTTGCTTTTTTAAAACTTTTTATTTTGAAAACTTTCACATTTACAGAAAAGTTGCAAGAATTGTATAACAAACACCTGTATATCCTTCACATAGATTCTACCATTGTTAATATTTGTTCAAACTTTCTCTCTCTCACAATATTACAATTACCAATTTGCTGAACTCTTTGAGAGTCAGTGGCAGATATTGTAACCCTTTACACCTGTATACCTACATACTTCAGCATGTGTCTCCTAAGGTCAAGGGTGTTGTCTAACAACCACAACACAAATAGCAAACTCACAGAGTTTAACATTGATATGAATATTATTAATATTTAGTCCACATTCAGTTTTAGTCAATTATAGATCAGGATGCCCTCAAATCAGTCATAAAATACAGACATCATGCGAGTGTCTTAGCCTGTTCAGGCTGCTAAAACAAAATACCATAAACAGAATGGCTTATAAACAATAGGAATTTTTTTTTAGAAAATATTCTTTTAATTTTTTTCCTTAGAATTATTTCCTTGATTTCTTCTATAAAATTCCATAATTAATTTAAGAAGACCAGCATAGAACTTTTTGAGGCAAATTTATCTTAGAATATCAACTACTGAAGAAAGATGTTCTTGATGAGCTTCAATGCTTTTCTGTATCCTAGTCCAGACTTGACTTCTAAAAGCAGATCATCTTGGCCGTTTATGTCAGGATCAGGGGCAACTGCATTGCTCCTTTTGAAAGCAAGTTCTTCCCTGACAGGTCCCAGTGACTTAGGGAATAACTGATTGCTCCACGTGTGGGGGTTTATTTCCTTTCCACTGGCTATCAAGGACATGTTCTTGGGATTCACACCTGGAAGATATCTTGATTGTTTCAAGTAGTACTGGTTAGAAGCTGGAGCAGCTGACAATTCGGAATCAGACTTTAGGGAAATAGCAGCAGGTAAGCTCTTGTTTTCCCCTAGCGAGTGGTTGGAGCCCAAGGATGCCAGCTCTGGAAGCTGAAATGGAGACTCTTTCTTCCTTTTTTCTTTAAAAACACCCATGCTTGGCTTCTTGGAATGGGAGGCTCCGAAATCGTAGTCCTCCAACTCTTCCCAGCTTTCTCCAGATTTGAAGTTAGTTTGGCCCCAATGCCTCCTACCACTTTTATGATTCAGTGTGCCATTTGGCTTAGTTGGCATGTTTTTGATGATGTTTGGGAATTGTGTTTGTGGCGATTTCTGCTGATTCTGTTGCTTTGGTAGTTGCTGGACGCTCAAGTTCTGTGGTGGCTGAATGGGCTGCAGTGCCTGCTGGCTAGTTTTCGACTGGGATTGTCCAACAGTGTGATCAATTACATCTGGTAGAGGCTTGGGCTCTACTTCAACTAAAGATGGCTTTGATTCTAATGGTTGCAGCTGCTTATTTAAAGACCGTTTTGATTCCAGATGATTTGAGGAAGGGCCTAATACCTGACCAACTTGAAAATATGGGTGTTTCAATGCCCGGCTTGCTGTTGGTCGTTTTATTGGATCCCAATTCAACATTTCAGTCATGAGCTGAATAGCTTCATTACTGGCATTGGGAATCAGAGTTTTTAAGTTTATAGGAACACACTGGGGAAAACGAAAATTCATAGAAGATGCCAGCTGGTATCCTTTTGGCCACTCTTTTTTGGGAGTCCCTAAAACTTTGCAAATTTTAAAGATTTCATGAACCTCACTTTTTTAACATATAGAGTTCAGCCATGATACTTCCAACAGCCCACACATCAATGGGAGAGCTATACAGGAAGATCTCAGCAAAACTTCAGGGGCACGATACCATCTAGTAGAGACATAATCAGTGTATGGTGGCTGTGACCTTACTTCTCTTGCAAGTCCAAAATCAGCAATTTTCACAAGTTCTGGACCCATACACAGCAAGTTTTCTGGTTTCAAGTCCCTATGAAAAAAACCATGTTTATGGATAAAAGCCAGCCCTTGCAATATCTGATACATAATATTTCTGATGACTGACTCAGGGAACGACTTGTTTCTGTCTTGCATTAATTGATAGAGGTTTTCTTTCATATATTCAAATATGAAATAAAGGTGGTCATTTCCTCTCATAACTTCTTTCAATTTAATAACAGTTTCAGGGACTTAACTTCTCTCAAGTTCATACATTTATCCCAAGAATAGAACTTTCTCTTCATCCTTTTGATGGCCACCAGCTCCCCAGACTCCTTATTCTTGCCCATAAACACACTCCCATAGGCGCCATCCCCCAACTGTCCCATGGTTGTGTATTGGTTCATCTTGGAAAAATAACGCAGCAGCAGTTGTTGATTTGAACTCCTCAGCTCAAAACTTGCCTGAGTTTGATAGTCAGGTGGAGCAGAAGAGGGCAAAGATGAAGGATAAAAAGGAGCAGAAGGCAATGGAGACGGACAAACACATTCACAAAGCTTACTCCAAACAGTAGTTAATACAGCAGTTTGAGGTAGATTGTTGTTATGAGAACAAAAACGACTGATTTTTTTCCCCAATAAATCCCCAAGCATTTTCATCCAAGATTCCACCTTCAGGGACCCAGGGACACAATTCATGAACAATGTGTAAAAACTCTTGTACTTGACTAAGCTTTACATCATGACTTCTAGTTTTAATCATAGAATGTAATAAATGTACAAACAACTTATGTTCCTTCGATTCAAGTTGCCCCATTTTTACTCCTGATTAATCTGACTCACAAACCTCTTGTATTTACAAAAGAAAATTCTTGATTCTTGTATTTACAATATTCCTTAAAACTTTGTTACTTACTGCGATTGCCACTCACGTAAGCATCACTGAAATCCCTGGTCTTAGGTCCCTGTTTGGGCACCATGTCTGGAGGGAATTCTTGTCCAGCAAGAGGTTTCCAACCTGAGTGGGGGGTGTGCAAGAAGAAAAGAGGACAGACAGGCGGGGTCAGGAGGGCTGAGAGAGATATTGCTTCAACAGCGACTTTATTCTTCCAAGTCTCAGAATATATACATTCTCAAGATCTTACTGACGTCAGGTATCTAAATCACAAGTTCCATACAATAAATTGACAGCTAAGCAATAAGTGGCTATAGAAGATAATAATATCTTTGGTGCTCAGAAACACGTTTGTGTAGCAAGAAACACTGTTTGTCATATCTGCACGGCCATCTGGTTTTGCCCATCTGGTTATCTTTTAATTTGATTTTCCTCTGTCTGTTCCTGACTCCTTTATCTCGACTTCCCTCTTTCAGGCATCCCTGGGTCTGGGCTCAAAACTGCCCATTTTGTGAAACTCGCTTTGCAAGTATTCACACGGTTGGGATCCCAACATTGATTGAAATGGCTTCCTCGTTGAATATAAATCTCGTTAATTCAGGAATTTATTTCTTACAGCTCTGGAGGCTGGGAAGTCCAAGCGCAGGGTGCTGGCATGTTCAGTGTCTGCTTAGGGCTGGCTTTCTGGCTCATAGATAGTACCTTCTTGCTGTGTCCTCATATGGTAGAAGGGGTGAGCTAGTTCTCTGGGGTCTCTTTTACAAGGGCTCTAATCTTATTCATGAGCTCATGACCTAATTTCCTCTCAATGGCCTTACCTCCTAACACCATCGCCTCGGGGATTAGGTTTCAACATATGAATTTGGGGTTGGGAGGACGAACATTTAGACCATAGCAGTGAACTTTCATTGCTTTTGGTAAAGACATTTTCATTTTATTAATATCTTTTGGAGTTTTTCTCTAATGTTAACTTGGTACATGTCAGAAAAACATGAAGGCTGGATCTACAGCAGGTGAGTAATACAACTGCCCTGAAGCTGCATTTTCCACTTCAGTATTGCCTATCCACACAGTCAAGCAGCATGAGAGCTCAGTGACTATCAGTCATGAGTTTTAGGGCCTCCTGTCAATCAGCAAGAAGCAAACATTTGGAGGAAAAGGTAAAATCAAAAGCTGCATCACTGTCAGGCTTTGACACAATCAAACTAATGACTCTCAGCTTATTTATTTATTTATTTTTGAGATGGAGTTTTGCTCTTGTTGCCCTGGCTGAAGTGCAATGGCGTGATCTTGGCTTACCACAAGCTCTGCCTCCCAGGTTCAAACAATTCTCTTGCCTCAGCCTCCCAAGTGTGCTATAGCTGGCCTAGAGTTAGAGCCTGAACAACGCCATTTTATACAAGACAAAAACTGTTTTCCAAAAATGAGTTGTAATGGCTGACCCCCTCTCCTCGCACTAACTGCTGTTCTTGGCTTCTGTAAATAAAACCTGCTAGCTTGCTCTAAAATGACCAGCCTTTGCTTATCAGTAGTTACCAGAATTACTTCTGCTTATCAGCAAGTATTGAAAAGATGCTTGCCTTGCATCCCCTCACCCTAAACCCAGGATGTGGTTTTTCAGCTTAAATACCCCGATCCCCCTGAGTTTGGGGCCACAGGTTGGAGAGACATAAGTCCTCTGTGGCTGCCGGCAATAAAGATCCTACAATTTGGCATACTTTTGTCTTAGTGATTATTTCAATCTCGCATCCAATACTTCATTTGGAGGCCCCAGCGAGATTATTATTTATATTCCTCCATCACCTAGACAAAAGCCATCTCAGAGTCTTGCCTGGGCAGCCGCTCCCACCTCAGGGGCCTCTAGGGGAGGCGCCCCCTGAGTTGCTCCAGGGCCCCAGAGTGTCACCGTGGAGGATAAGCGACCACCCGGCTGACGTTCACCCAAAATTCTTCAGGGTCCTAAAAAAAAAAAAAGCCTCCAGAGGTAAGTTTGGTCTGGAATCTGGGAACCAAGAGTAAAAAAACCCCATACAAGTGTTAGGTGATTGAACTTCTGGAGTTGCAGGACTACATTGCATCCCCTAAAAATCAGGGCAGTTTTCCCTGGATCTGGTGTTTTCTGTGGGTACATCTTTATGGCCAGGCCTTATTCCACTGCACCTCAACAGCTGGTAGGAAGAGTATGTCTGCATGTGTTGGGGAAACAAAGGCATAGAGAAAGGCCACATGGGAAAAATATGTGCATATCATAGCTGTTCCAGCTTTTGCTTCTTTTCAGCTACAAAGAGGTTGAACCTATTAGATGTAATGATCCCCTTCACCTCACTGTAGGTTCTTCGGTCAATATAAACATGTGTGTGCAGAGGTGCGTGTGTGTTCATTTCTTACTTTCAATAACTGAAGTTCCATAGAAATAAACTCTGTGACACTTTACAAGTACATTTCTTAGTGTGTAATTTTACATTGCACAGAGGTATTCTAATTTCAGATTCTGGGATAAATGAAAATGGTCCCTGTGGACATGAAGAAACATTGAATTATTCAGCTAGTGGCACCAATGTTCAAATCAGCGATCTCTGAACTCCCAGTTACCAAAATATTAAGACAGTAGGATGTTAAACTTCTAAAATTCCACAAAGAATTTAGGAAGTTACTGTAGGATTCCACTAATTGTTCACATTTCTAATATGAGGCACCCAGTTTGGTTAGTTTTTTTCTTAGGCATTTGGATCTCAAAATCTAGACAGGTAAACACATAGTTTACAGAACTTGACTGGGTAAAGTATTTTCGAGTTGGAGCCCCTCAAGATCATGCCCCTGGCCTAAACAGACTTTTCTTTCCTGCCTCAGAAATCAGGAGAGAGCACTTGGGTATATAATTACCTCTCCCAGAAATGGACAACATGTCTTAAGTGGGATGGTGCACCTTTTTATGGGGGGTAGGGGCCAAGGTTGCAGGGTGCTCTTGGAAAGGATGTGGGAGCCCATTTGAGATGACCAGTGTCTTTCCCATGCTGGGGAGTCCCAGGAGGGACTGTACCCTGATCCCACCCTCAGGAATGGGGAGGCCACTACCTACTGACCTGAGAGCCAACACTGAGGCTCCTAAATCCAGGCTATAATGCTTACATGAAGAGTCAACATTTTGTGGTGTGCATGAAGGGTCCTAGCCTTATACCACATAAGCAGCCAAGATACCCCAATGTCTTGTTTTCTGAGGAAATGTGTCTGCCTCCACCAAATGTGGTGTAGGAGTGGCAGATGGATCCAGCTTCCAGTGGTAAAGCTGTGAGCAAGGTTATGCTCGTCTGGCTAGAAATGTGTTCTTTTGTCTGGGTACAGTTTGGGCTGGAGTAAAAATTGGAATTCTGTTAGACAGAATGGATATAGGGGCATAGTTATACTAAATATTGTTTGTTCTTTATCTAAAATTCATTTAACTGGAAGTTCTGCATTTTTATTTGTCAGATCTGGCAACTTAGAGTGGAGGTAGATATGAGTAGATATCTCCACTCATCTAGACCGTGCCATGTAGATACACAGTCTAGATGTAAATTACACAATTGGAATATCCATCCCAGACTTAGCAAGGAGCTCAAAAGACCCTTGAACCTCAGGGCCTGAGCAAAAGCAAATTCTCCTTGGGATCACTTCTCCACTTCAGGGCACAGGGACTCCCTTGATAACACCCACAAAGGTGAACCCCTGAGAAAGACCTATAAACCATAATTGAATCCACCACAAGGAATTGTCAATGGATGGAACTCAAGCCAATTTAGGTGATGTTTTTAGCAATACAACATGAATTATCAGTATTTAGGATGCTTGGAATTCATTTTGTAGCAACTTGACACCAGGACATTAGCTTTTCCCAATTCTGGTTGAGGAATTTCTAAATGGGAAGGTGGGGCTTATGGATGGCAACCTGGTGGACAGGGTGGGGCTAGAGAACCTGCCTTGAAATGGTACAGCCATGCAATGCATAACAACCTTTGATTAACTTTAGACTGTACATATGATGGTGGTCCATATTTACTGTATCTTTTTTTCTTTTTTTGCTGATGTCTTTTCTTTTAACAATTATTAGAAGACTTTTTTTTCTGAGATGAAATTTTGCTCTTCTTGCACCTGGCTAATTTTGTATTTTTAGTAGAGATGGGGTTTCTCCGTTGGTCAGGCTGGTCTCAAACTCCCAACCTCGGGTAACCCACCCACCTCGGCCTCCCAAAGTGCTGGGATTACAGGCATGAGCCACGGCGCCTGACTAGAAGACATTTTATTGATAAATGCTTGGACTGCATCTTTTCTATATTTAGATGCACAAATGCTATTGTGTTACAACTGCCTATGGTATTCAGTTGAGTAACATGCTGTACAGGTTTGTAGCCTAGGAGCAAAGGGTTATATATACCATATGGCCTAGGTGCATAATAGACTATTGGATCTAGGGTTGGTGTGAATACATTCTATGATGTCCCCACAACAGTGGAATCGTCTAATGATGCATTTCTCAGAATGTAGCCCTGTCATTGGCACATGACTGCATTTGCAAAGCAAGATAGTATTTTTATTTAAATTATGTCTGTTCATTTGCGAGATGATGAAGATTGTGAGAGTCATTAACTCTGCCTCTAAATTATGCTTTGGTATTGTCATAGGGGTTTGCCCCTAATTTTATCCCTTTCCTGCATAGTTTCTTGGTGGTGAAAACACTGGATGAAAGGGAAACTAGAATGTTGATTGTTTTCTCTGCTAAGTAAATGTCAATCCATCCAGAACCAGCTCCCCAGAGAGGGGTAAGGGGTAGGGAAATGGGGGCAATGCAACCTAAAAATCCTTCTACTAACATTCCTCGTTCGCCTTTGTAAGTTGGATGGACTTCCAACCTCTTTTTCCTAAGCCAATTT